TATTTAAAAGTTGTTCCTTGGTTAAACGTAGACGAGTTAGAAATAAACTAAAAAATTGACTTGGGCACAAAAGAAGATACTTGTCGTACCATATACTCTTTCGTTCATATGGTTACCGGACATCCTGTATATCAGGCTTTGGCTTGCCACTTAGTTGACTCTTTCCCAACATTAGTACCCTTTTCTGTAGAGCAATAGTAACAAATACTTGATGTTTCAGATCACAAATCCCTCCGAACTAGACGCTTTAATAAGCGAAGCGAAGGACGGATCAGATAAAGAGAACATTTGCATCAGCGAATCGTAGATAGTCCAGGAATTCAAATCGAAAGCTTGAAACGCACAAAACTCTGACTCCATTTTAATTGTTTTTTTCAAATTCTTACTTGAAACAATTGAAATAGAGCGAAAATCTAGCCCGTCAGGTAGGCTGATACACTGAGCCTCATTTACATGTAGGTACTTGTAGAAACTTTCCTGTTTTCTACACGTCCGTTGCTGTAAATAGTTTAAGTGTGCTTCGCAATTCATTTTCAGACCGCGTTTTTGTATAAAATTAATGTGCCCGAAATACATAGTCAAATGTACGTTTAAGGGATGGGAATGAGCAATTATTCAGTAATGTATTTCAGAACAGCTTGAAGTAAATTTAGTAGGCCATTAGTTACAAAGCATGCTGTTTATTCAGCAAAATAAAATACTAACGATTTGTGCATTTTTTGCTCAAATTGGGCCAGAAAAGGAAAATTTCCATCCAAAGTAGGAACTTCGTCGTGTTATATGTATGAGAAACACGCACGTATATACAGCGTAAAATGGTTTAAAAATTACAACACCTGAAAAACTAAGATCATCCAATAAATGCGACCATTTAGTTAAAAAAAAAATAATTTTCCTGGTAAAACTAGCATTTTGTATACCTACATGTGATTACCTTTGCTGTGACGTAAAACTCTGTGTACTTGTTTTCAATTTAATGTTCTAAACTGTTCGTACATATCTTTAGGAACGAAGTGGTTATTTTACGAAATCTGCTGGAGTTATCCAGTCAAGTCTTCCTCTGAGCCAAAACAGCGCAACACAAACTTTATTACTTTCCTGCAAATGTACTTTCCAGCAGAGTTTTTTAAATGCGCCACTTTCTCACATTTACACAATTGTACCAATTTCGCACCAACATCACAACTATTCTAAGTAAACTTCTCATAGGGAAACTTCCAACTGCGGTTGCCAAATTTTTAGACAAAATACCATATATTTTTATATGTACTCATTTAGTTGTTTATATCATTCATATACAGGGTGCTCCGGAGCAGGCCAATAAATTTACTTTCTACATAAGGAAAAGTTTTGACTGTTATTTATCAAGTAACTCTAGGCCTAGATTTCATTGTTTTGTTAAAAAATAATTATCTTTAAATAGGTTTTGGTCATGTTCGGGAGCATCAATTTTTTATTTAAATCTATTGAAATATTTACATCATTGTTTTTATATATAATGCAAATATTTATCGCTAATTTATATATGAAAAGTTGTCCGAATTTAGATAGGCAAAGAGTATCAGTGTTGAAGAACATTGAGACTTATTAAGTGAAGATTTCAGGAGTAGGTATTATTTTCAGGCTAAACCCAGGCCCGAAGGTGTCTGAGATTAACACTTCTCGAAATCTGCATTTTCTTACATCAGTATCAGTGTTGCCATTATGGAAGTATGGTACGGGTCCAAATCAGGTCACTTTGCTGCACACAGTTGATTTAGTTGAAAAACATTAAAGTGTAATCTCAAATGTAAACTGTCTGCTGAAAGTTGCAAAAAAGCATATTTTTTATTGTCGATAAGACTTATTACAGGGTTAACTTAGTTACTGAGCACTAACACAGGCAACACTGATGCTAAACAATTCATAGATTATTTCTCTATGTAAGTATCAACTGGAAACCTTTCAGTTAAGTAGTAATCTAGAAAAATTTCGCTTTGAATGGCAAATACCGTCAACTTGATTCCTGATTTAATTGTACTTTAACTACATTTTAAAGATTTTGTTGAAAGTTTTCTAGTTCTTTTCTCAATTCTATTTATTCTTATTTTCATTTATACACTGTGCAATAATTTGCGAACAAATGACTACATCCCATATTTTACCGAATGATATTTCTAGGCAAATCGATGTGTTTTGAAAAATTTCCGAATACTTACTATGATAATTGAACTGTTTTCTACAAGTTTTTTAATGGGGAAAATTGTGGTGGAAATCTAGCTATTAAATATTGTATTTGTAACGTTCTAGGCCTGTAAGGAAAATCTATGTTTTTCTATTATATACACAAATAATATGTATAATACAGCAAATAATATACTTATACTGCAAATATTGTACAGCTGTCTTTAATAAATAAATGTTGAATGTTTATTTAGTAAAATCTTGAATATTTCTGCTCCAACCACGAAAGCCTCAAATTTTCACAATCTACAGAAAATCTCTACAGAGTCGACAGATTCTACGAGTTTCAGAAAAATCTACCATAATCATGAGTTTATTAACTGCGCCCTCTCCTTAAAAAATTCGGATCTTCTAAACTGAAGCCAGTAGCTATTTCAAATTTTCACAATCTTCAGAAAATACTTGGATCTTACGATTCTACATGTTTCATAAAAATCTCCCGTGATACGGATTTTTGCAGGATGGTGAATGGCAGTGTCAAAATTGATGCTTCTTCCAACTGCGCCCTCTCCTTAAAAAATTAACATCTTCTAAACTAAAGCAAGCAGATATTTGAAATTTTCACCAACTTCAGAAAACACTTGACTGTGAAGATTCTGGGAGTTTTATGAAATCCGCCGTTTACACTAATTTTAGCCAATTCGGTAAATATCAGTTTTAAAATTGATGTTTCTACTCAACTGCGCCCCTTCTTTGAAAATTCGCATCTTCCAAAATAACGCAAGTAGGAATGCGAAAAATTCACCATCTTTGGAAGAAAGTTGACTGTGAAGATTTTGAAAGTTTCATAAAAAGCGCTTGTAGTGCAAATTTTTGCCAACTTAGAAAATCTCGGGATCAAAATGGAAGTTTTTACCCAAATGCGCGCTTTCATTTAAAAATTTGCATATTCCCAACGAAAGGAAGCCCCAATGTGAAAAATTTGCCGCCTATGCTAGAAAGTTGGCTTTACAGATGTTGAAAATTCCATAAAAATTGACCTCAATGCAAATTTTTGCCAGCTTAGCAAATATCGGTCTCAAAATGGAAGTTTTTTCCCCAAATGCACCTTATAAATACAAATTCGTATCTTCCAAACTAAAGCAAATACCCATGTGAAATATTCAGCATCTTTTGCTAGACCGTTGGCTTTAAACATCGTGAAAGTTTCGTAAAAATCGCCCACAATCCGAATATTAGCCAGATTTGAAAGTCTGGGTCTCAAAAATGGCTATTTTAAGCAATTAGGCCCTCTTCTTTAAAAAATCGCATTTTCTAAACTGAAGGAAGTAGCAATTGGGAAAGTTCACCATCGTTAGTAAACACTTCGCTCTAAATATTCTGAGAGTTTCATAAAAATCACACAGAATCCCAATTTTTGCCAGCTTAGTAGCTCTCGCTCTCAAAATGGATGTTTTTATCAATTGCTCCCTCTCCATTAAAAACACCACATTTCCCAAACTAAAGCAAGCAGATATTTGAAATTTTCACCAACTTTAGAAAACACTTGACTGTCAAGAGCCTGAGAGTCAAGAGTTTGTGAAATGAACGACCTCGACCGTTAGCTCTAAAAATCTTGAGAGTTTCGCAAAAATCGCCCACAATCCGATTATTAGGCAGATTAGTAAATCTGGGTCTCAAGAATGAAAGTATTAATTTGGAAATTTCACCATTGTCATTAAACACTTCGCTAAAAATATTCTGAAAGTTTCAAAAAATGCACCCATCATCCCATTTTTTTCCAGCTTAGAAACTCGAGCTCAAAATGGATGTTTTTACCCAAGTGCGCGACGAAATCCTGAGTTATCTGAACGTATTTATTCTCTTGCTCACTCATTCTTAGTGTTTCCAAATGCTGTTTTTATTATTTTTGATTTCCGCAAGTTTTACACCTCTGAAAAATTTTCGCTKTTCCTCTTCATATTGAAATACGTCAAGTTAACTGCAAGTTTGTTCTTCTTCATATTGAAATACCTCAAGTYAACTGCAAGTTTGTTCTTCTTCATATTAAAATACTCGCATGTTTCGGGATCTCATCAATTTCTATTCATCAAAAGGAAAAAATCAAACTCTGGTTACCCAAAACTTGCTGATCAACAGCGCTTACTTATATCAACTTTTGTTAGAAAAGTAAGCAAAACCGCGCTGCTGAGACACACCAAGTCTTACCCGTGAACTTCTGCGGGCGACTTCATGTCCCGGCACCATAAAAGTAAGTACCCACCTATTTACGAATATGGTACTCATATTGCATAACACACGCTACCAATTCGCCATAATTTAAAAAAGAAACGACTCATAATTAGGTATTAATTATAGGCCGCCACATGCGAGGCAATTTTAAATATCATTCAAATTGATAACTATAAATCACTTGACCCTGCAGGAGATCGGAGGAGGCGCTTAGAAAGCGCTGAGGAGTGGCTGAGTTTGATACCAGCCCGGCTATAATGAGTTTATAGGCAGGGCCCATATTTGGTAGTGAATGGTAAGCTTGGCTAAGCATAGAGGACGCCGCCGATACTGCAAATTTCAAACGCTTCAATTTGCGTGAAAAGCGAAACTTTCTTCAGAGTTGACCAGGAAAATTCCTGCTGCGGCTTCAACAGTGAAGGAATACGAGATTTTGATCGCGTACAGTGCAGGGAATGGTGAGGTTGGTTGAAATAAATCCGGAAATTTGCAGCAGGATTTTATAATGCTTGCAGGAACGCTAGAGAGTGCTGATGTTCAAAGACTCACCCGGGACGTGGCTCCATCTGAAACGTACAGAAATCAATATATTGGAGTTACTTATACTCATTTATGATTGAAAATTGACTTCGTTTAACAACAATTTTTGGGGAAGTTGCATAAAATATTTTCAGCCAAGGCAAAGTTATTGGCGATGATGGGTTTAGACGAACTTTTTTCTTGATTCTTTTGGCGTTTGCTAGCTTAATTTTGAAAGGGAAATTTGGCCAAATCATGGAAAAATACGGGATCGGAAAGTGAAATTTTTCAATCATTGGGGGGTTTTATACAAATTAAAGCGGCACCTACTTGAGATGCTTTTTGCAAAAAAACACTCCAGAAAGGTCTTAGGTTGCCCGAAGAATTCAACTTTAAGAAAATGTATGCTTTTAACGCGGGTTTCGCGGTTTTTGTCGCAATTTCTGCCCCGACTTAATCGTAAACTTTCGCCTTCAAAGTTTCACTTTTGGAAGCAATTTTCCCGATACTAATGGGTTTTTCGGGTTTTTAGGCCGTCGTTCGGTAGAATTTCCCCTTGACGTTTCGCAAGCCCGAGTGGCTTGCATCTTCAGAAGAATCTTCCGAACGACGGCCTAAAAACCCGAAAAACCCATTAGCTTCGAGGAATGGCCTCGAAAGTTTATCTCTTGTGAATTTTCCCGATGTTTTGTTTTGTTGTCTTTAAACCGCCAACGGGAAACATTACTTTTGCATGGAAGATCTAAGGTATAAATCTCGAATTTCCCAGAAACTGTCACTTTCAATTAGAGCCTCCATATAGACCAGCAACTATCGGTCTTCCCTCTGTGAATATCCCAAGAATTATTCCAGATGAGCAAGCGGCTGAAGTCACTGAAACCCTGCATGTGCCCACTTGATTGACAGTAGCAATTCAGGAAAATCGAGAGAGTTTTAGTAGGGTTCCTCCATATCAGAATATAGAGGAGGTTCTTTGAGTCAACATTCCTGTCGCAAGACGCACTGGGGGTTTATCGCAGGCGTGTTGTTAACACTACTTAGGAATTTTAACGGGTTTTCCCTCACTAGTTGCCAAAACTGTGGCCTTTTTCGCGGTGGTTCTTAAGGATGTCTTTGACGAAGCAAAGTTTTCTGTGAAAATATTTTAAAAAGTCGTTAAACGAATGCGGAATTGACGATGCAGCTACATAAACTCCCTGGATTGGGAATAGACCTTCTGTTCAGTTTCAAAGCGGCTGGTCTCGTGCTGATATTAAGTGCGACATCCCCTGCCGGGTGTGCGCCCCTAACTTCCATTAGGGAGCTATCGCCCTACCACCTAAACTGATTATCGCCTGTAATGGACAAAATCAATTCGGCATTATCCGAAAAAGTTACCAAATTCTTCAATTCCTCGATAGTTTTATGTGAAAAGCAAAAACCAGTCATGGTAAATTTGACGTCGAAGAAACCGCTTTACATGATAAACCGCATTACGGCCAATACCCGGAAAAAAGGGCTTCGAGCCGTTAGTGCGGGAAATACAAAGCGGCGACTTATTGAAGCCTAACTGGTTCTTTATTGACAATTTGCTGAGATGGCGAAATTATTTATTTGTTTATATATTTCATTAGCGGAAGCAATTTACTTTAGTTCGTTTTGAAAATGTGGGCATCCACCGAAACATTGGCAGGCTTTGGTAAGGAGCAATCGGAGCCTATTAGAAACACCGAGTTTTGAAAAGGTTTGTTTGGCCCTCAATAATCCAAACGTCGTTTTTTTAATCGCCCCCAAAACACACAAATTCATCATGTATCTTCTTCGACAGTCAATAAATCATGCGGCGGCGAAAACACTCTTTTTATAATTTAGGCATTTGAAATTTGTGTCCGAAGCCCGAGGAAAACGTGTTTGTGTTTGCTTAAATATTAGATGTTGGCCCCGAAGATCCAATCGATATGGAGTACGACTCTGCAAGCCATCAGTTTTTTTCACTAACAATGCCTAAACAAATATCCGGTGTAAATATTACAAATTTAATGTAACTTAAATGTATCTGCAAAGCGAATACTCGATATAATGTTAATTTATGAATCAGGCCCGCTTGGGATTGTTTATGGCTAAGTATTTGATTAGAAAAAATATTTTGGCTATCAGCCATTGCATAGAACTGGTGAGGATTTCGAGGTTTTTTTTAGGTGGAGAATTTTTTTGTTCGTTCGGAAACATCAGGAAAAATATCAAGTTTTTCAAAATTGCCTCCAATTCTAAATGGTTCTAAAAAAGGATGCGAGTAAAAAGCTCATTAAAAACGTACTAAGCTTCAGATCTAAATTAACCCACATTATCTGTTGATTTTTAGCGGTTTTGAGGCAATCGCGATGTTTAACCGACGATATCTTCCTTGTGCATATTGGAAATCATTTTATGTCGCAAACATTTTTTGAAGCTAAAAAACATGCATGTCAAATTTTGATTTTTCTCCCAAAATGTAATGAGGGTTGAGGTCAATTTTTTCGAAAAATAACA